CACCCCACAGAGCAGCAGGGCCCCCCACCCCACCCCACAGAGCGGCAGGGCCCCAGGTCCTGCAGGCAGCCCACCCGGCAGCCCGGCAGCCCAGGAGCACTTCCACCGGGCGCCAACAGAGGGCGGGCGCAGGCCGGTCTCCACGCCGGGCCAAGGGCTGCGAGCCGGGCTGGCACCTGGCCCCCAGGGGACCTGGGGGGTGGAGAGGCCCCCTCCCCCCCTGTCCTTCCCGGCTCCCGCCCACCGCCCAGCCCCACCTTCGGGGTGCCTAGAGAGACGGGCATCTGAAGGCCTTCCTCCCCAAGGCCCCCGACCGCTCCACACGGTGGGGGAGGCGGAAGGAGGGACCTGACCGGAGCCCGTGTGCATGCGTGGGGTGGGGCCGGGGGCCGGGGGGGTGCACAGCATCCTGTCACACGTGTGGCCGTGGCCACACCACTGCACACAGCCGGGCTCCGGTGCACACCCATGCACATGGCCACTGTGCACGCCTCCGGCCCCGAGGACCGAGGGATCGTGGCCTGCGGACGGGAGCCCGAGGCGCGCTGTGACCCACCCCGCCTGTGCACGGTGAGCACCAGGGCCTGCGGAGGCCCACCGGCCGGCCGCTCCCCGGCCTGCGATCGCCTTACATGCAGGCCTGATGACAATCTCTGCTGAAATAATATTTAACACATGCTGCACTTTTAATTAACTATCTGAATAATCTCAAATTAATACCAGAGCTTTAAAAATAAGTTTTCATTTTCACGTTTGGTAACATAATAGCTGGCTGACTGGCCCACTTCCCCCTCCTGTGATTTAATTAAAAGCCTTTTGTGTGTCTCTTGTCACTTCAGAAATGGACAAAAGCCCCCATGTGGGCAGCTTGAACCCCAGGATCGAGGTCCAAGACAGGGCCAGGGATGGGACGGGTGCACACATCCAGGAGGAAAAGGTCCTCCTACAGTAGATCATCCAATCACCAGTGTGACAGGCCAGTGTGACAGACCCCAGTGTGACAGAGACCAGTGTGACAGACCCCAGTGTGACAGAGACCAGTGTGACAGATCCCAGTGTGACAGAGGCCAGTGTGACAGACCCCAGTGTGACAGATCCCAGTGTGACAGACCCCAGTGTGACAGGCCAGTGTGACAGACCCCAGTGTGACAGAGGCCAGTGTGACAGACCCCCGTGTGACAGACCCCAGTGTGACAGGCCAGTGTGACAGGTCAGTGTGACAGACCAGTGTGAGACCAGTGTGACAGATCCCAGTGTGACAGATCCCGTGTGACAAATCCCAGTGTGACAGAGACCAGTGTGACAGAGACCAGTGTGACAGACCCAGTGTGACAGACCCCAGTGTGACAGACCCCAGTGTGACAAATCCCAGTGTGACAGATCCCAGTGTGACAGACCCTAGTGTGACAGACCCCAGTGTGACAGAGACCAGTGTGACAGACCCCAGTGTGACAGATCCCAGTGTGACAGATCCCAGTGTGACCGACCCCAGTGTGACAGACCCCAGTGTGACAGAGACCAGTGTGACAGAGACCAGTGTGACAGACCCCAGTGTGACAGAGACCAGTGTGACAGAGACCAGTGTGACAGACCCCAGTGTGACAGAGACCAGTGTGACAGGCCAGTGTGACAGAGACCAGTGTGACAGAGACCAGTGTGACAGATCCCAGTGTGACAGATCCCAGTGTGACAGACCCTAGTGTGACAGAGACCAGTGTGACAGATCCCAGTGTGACAGATCCCAGTGTGACAGACCCTAGTATGACAGAGACCAGTGTGACAGAGACCAGTGTGACAGAGACCAGTGTGACAGACCCTAGTATGACAGAGACCAGTGTGACAGGCCAGTGTGACAGAGACCAGTGTGACAGAGACCAGTGTGACAGATCCCATGTGACAGATCCCAGTGTGACAGACCCTAGTGTGACAGAGACCAGTGTGACAGACCCCAGTGTGACAGAGACCAGTGTGACAGAGACCAGTGTGACAGAGACCAGTGTGACAGAGACCAGTGTGACAGAGACCAGTGTGACAGACCCCAGTGTGACAGAGACCAGTGTGACAGACCCTAGTGTGACAGAGACCAGTGTGACAGAGACCAGTGTGACAGAGACCAGTGTGACCGACCCCAGTGTGACAGACCCCAGTGTGACCGACCCCAGTGTGACAGACCCCAGTGTGACAGACCCCAGTGTGACAGACCAGTGTGACAGACCCCAGTGTGACAGAGGCCAGTGTCACAGAGGCCAGTGTCACAGAGGCCAGTGTCACAGACCCCAGTGTGATGGAGACCCGGCAGCCCCCACATTCATAGACACACTAGATTGTGCCCTGGCATGAGTGCTTACTAATTACCCAGCAGGCACATGCACAAGCCCGTGCACACCAATCTCATGCATACACGCCCCCTGTGCACACCAGGCCCACACTTACCCCACCTGTGCACACCACGCCCATATGCACACTCACCGTGACCTCCATGCACACCAGGCACACGTGCACACCCCCACCTGTGCACACCAGGCACACGTGCACACACGCCCCCTGTGCACACCAGTAACACGTGCACACATGCCCCCGTGCACACAGGCACGTGCACACGTCCCCTGCGCACACCAGTAACACGTGCATACACGTACCCTGTGTACACCAGTAACACGTGCACACACGCCTCCTGTGCACACCAGGCACACGTGCACACACACTCCCTATGCACACTAGGCACACGTGCACACCCCCACCTCTGCACACCAGGCACACATGCACACACACACCCTGTGCACACTAGGCACACATGCACACACGCCTCCTGTGCACACCAGTAACACGTGCACACACGCCCCCTGTGCACATCAGGCACACATGCACACACGCCCCTGTGCACACCAGGCACATGTGCACACACGCCCCCTGTGCACACCAGTAACACGTGCACACATGCCCCCTGTGCACACCAGTAACACGTGCACACACGCCCCCTGTGCACACCAGTAACACGTGCACACACGCCTCTTTGCACACCAGTAACACGTGCACACACGCCCCCTGTGCACACAGGCACGTGCACACACGCCCCCTGTGCACACAGGCACGTGCACACACACCCCCTGTGCACACCAGTAACATGTGCACACACACCCCCTGTGCACACCAGTAACACGTGTACACACTCCTCTGCATACCAGTAACACGTGCACACATGCCCCCTGTGCACACCAGTAACATGTGCACACATGCCCCCTGTGCACACCAGACACACGTGCACACACACCCTCTGTGTACACCAGTAACACGTGCACACATGCCCCTGTGCACACCAGTAACACGTGTACACACTCCTCTGCACACCAGTAACACGTGCACACACGCCCCCTGTGTACACCAGTAACACGTGCACACACACCCTGTGCACACCAGTCACACGTGCACACACCCCCCCTGTGCACACCAGTAACACATGCACACACACCCCCTGTGCACACCAGGCACACGTGCACACACGTCCCTGTGCACACCAGGCACACGTGCACACACGCCCCCTGTGCACACCAGGCACACGTGCACACACTCCCCCTGTGCACATCAGGCACACATGCACACACGTCCCCTGTGCACACCAGTAACACGTGTACACACTCTGTGCACACCAGTAACACGTGCACACACGCCCCCTGTGCATACCAGTAACACGTGTACACACACTCCCTGTGCACACCAGGCACACGTGTACACACACACCCTGTGCACACCAGGCACACGTGCACACACGCCCCCTGTGTACACCAGTAACACGTGCACACACGCCCCCTGTGCACACCAGTAACACGTGCACACACCCCACCTACAGACTCAGGTTCTTACTCCACCTTGCCCACAAGCTTGCGAGGCAAACTGCCAAACACTGGGGCTGGCACCAACATTTCCCATGGGGTCTGGATGTGAGGAGAGTGGGGGTGGGGCAGGAGGGTGTAATGGCTTTGCCCCCCCTCCGTTCATATGTGCGACCCCCCCCGTGTGTGTCCCTGTCCCCAAGTCTACCCAGTTTTCCAGGCTTCATTCTTCTAGCCACAGCAGGGGCAGCTCCAGGCTGGTTGGTGGCAGGGAGCAGGCAGGGTCCCAGTCCCCAGTCCCCTCACCCTGGAGAGCCAGAGGCTCCTCCCGGCCAGACAGAGGGGGCCTGCCCCTAACACACTCACACCACGCAGAGGGCCTGCCCCTAACACACTCAGACCGCGCAGAGGGCCTGCCCCAAACAAACACACTCAGACCGCGCAGAGGGCCTGCCCCCAACACAC